CCCCAAAACCCCAAAACCCCGCATGTCAAATTTTAATCATAAATCTATAACAATGAGATAGCTTAAATTTAATATAAATTCAACAAGTATTTTAGGCTTGATCATTTGATTCTATAATTTTTGCATCATTTAAATTCTATGATTATCCCAAAAGCAATGCATTTTCATCAACCTATTCCACTATTATCTCGACATTTTAATCTTAATCCAATTTCTATTATGCTTTATCACTGGCTTAATTATCTTCTTGCTTGTTAGCATTATTTAACCTACCTCCATAATTTCTTTTATTCTCAATTTGTAGCATTACTCCAAGGATTAAGGCAGATCCAGAGAGTATGAGCCATAAAAATGATTACTATAAAAAGATAAATATAAAAATTTTTAGTTTACCCAAAAAAATCCATGACTTTCATCATTTTATGTCTAATCATGCAAATAACTGCCTAGTGTGGGAATTAGAGACAAGCCAATGTTTAGAAATGTGCACCCTAATCCATAGGCTGTCCCTAGTTATTTTTCCTTAGCAACACTAGGAATAATAGACCAAATAGTCCCTGCAAAAACAGAGTAAGCAGTTCCAGCTATTAAAATTGGAAGTAATTCAATGTATGAAACGGTATCTGTAACAGGAAGTAGTAGATTTAAGAAATGTGCTCCAACAAAAGCAGCTGCTGAACAGATGACTAAATTTGTCAAAATATAGAGGATTACTTAGATACACTCTGATATTGAATCTATCACCAAGCATTCCCATGAAAGGACAAGAAAGAGCTGCAATTATATTTGGTATGCTATAGACTTAGGTGGCAATACTCTCAGGAACTTTGAATTTGTCTTGCATAATCTTTGCTGCATTTTATTAGAATGGTAGGTAAGCCCCATACAAGAGAAAAATAAGAAAAACTACAAGCCATAGTGCATAACTCAGTTCCTTAACATTCGCCCAAGATATTATGCATTTTTCTTTATTTTCCTCTTCTTTCTTATCTTCATCTAATTATTCTTATGTTTTCTTTAAATCTTCCAAAGCCTTAATCTTTAGAGCTCTGTTATCATCTGCTTTATCGAAAATGCCTAACGAGTATTACCAAAAATATATACTTACAAATAACTACATTTGCAAGAAAACTTAAAGTACATATAATAGATCCTATCAGGAAAGCCAATCCAAGTTAATCATAATGGTTTTCATAGTATAATCGAGGAATAATTTGCCCATTTAAAGTTGAGGATATATTTCCAATAGCAATATTAAGACCGAAAACAAAGGAAAGTAGAGACCCACTGAACCATTTCGAAACTGTTGTAGATTAGGCAACTGACATGCATTCAGAGCCTAGTCTATTTAAATTCAAAGCTTTTAAATTACCCAAATACAACTCTTCCTGCTAACATAATTGGAAAGCTTTTCAGGTACCCACCAGCCGTGAAAATATATTGGCCTAAAGTAGAAATAATTCCAAACAGCACAATCCCAGTCCTGAAAATTTGTCAATTTGCTATCTAATCTTACCTTACTCCTAATATATCAATGAGCACACCACCAAACACTGGCAATATCATGTTGGGGTAAGAATAAACTGTATATAACAAGCTGTACTATGTTTGAGTAAGATTTAAATCATCTTCAAGAGCAGTTTCAATTGAGCCTGGATTATCATAGCAGAAATAGATTCCAACCACACAAAAGCAAGTGCAGAATAAGAATAAGTATTTCATTCGTGTTTCCTTGTACAATAACATTTTAGGCTGGGAAGTTTGTTGCTCAATCATAGGCTCTTAAATACTACTATTATGACGATATTGATTATCATGGCTTTCCTAATTTTTATGTGGACTCCCTTTTTGTTAATTTTTACTGGTACTCTAACTTATATGAGAATTGAAAGAGTCAATCCTGCTAGGAGAATGAATTCTAGAGTGGCTTTGACTGACTGTCCTTTAATTGACTTGCTGCTTAGACATTTCTTTCTATTCTGATGCTTATATTAAAGACATTTTAAGTAATATATTTTTTTAAATCTAAATTATATTAAGTTTCTAAATTTTCCACATAATATATATATATTGGATTAAGGGGTTTTGGGGTTTTGGGG